ACCTCCACTCGTCCCACGGCGGATTTTTTATATATATATATTTGTGCATATTTTGTTGACATTCGTCGTGGGTTGTGGCAGCTGCTGGACTAAGTCAATACGTGGAAGCATTGATCCGGAAAGGAGGAGCTGAGTTCAATGTACGCCATTCGTATACACTTGACTGAATTCGCTGGTATTGTAGTGGACGAGCTGCGTTCTGGGGTCCTATTTAGTACCACTGTAAAGATGACCTGAACGTACCCAGGGACCTATCTGATGAAAGGACGTTGTACATGCCAGGTTAGAATCTTCCAAGAGAATGGCGAACACGTTGTGAAGGCCACATTTCAAATGTTGGCTATTGACAAGTTGCGTATGAAGCTTTACAAAGGCCGCCATAACCGAGCAAAAGAAGAATACTCTTCATCCATGCAGGTGTGCATCCGCTCGATTGTGCAGTTTTGGTGGAGGGAGTGATAGAAGTTTGTTCCAACGGTTGCTGTAGGGCTGAGTGTGCATGGGGTTTTTGTGTGATTTAGTGAAAGACTCGGAAGAATGCAGTCAAGCGTGTCTTGTACAATTGACGAGTGTATTGTGTGATTCCATGGACAAGCAGTTGTGTGGTGCTCGAGGCGGGGGTGATGCAGCTGCGCGGAGCTTGTATTGGGTGGTGAATAAGAGTCTTACCTTCATGCTGGTGTTGGACTCGGAGCGGGAGCGCAACGCAGCGATCATGTTGGCGAGAAGATACGCATATGACTGCAATGTATGTGAACTAGAATTTGGCCCCTGCACCTGAGTTGTTTCTCCTACATGGCATCCTTGATGTGATGCTTGCTTGAAAATAATTGACCTGCGACGTTGTGTTCTTAACCATGGTGATATCAGGGAGCAGAGAATTCAGGCCTCGGGAAGTTCTAATTGCAGTTCAAAGTTTCACGGTATTCCTCAAAAAGATCTGACGCTGTTCCTATTTTGTCAGATCATACTTGGAGGCCCTGTTGACTAATACCTCCACTGCAAGCTCGATCTAGAGGCAATAAAGCACGATAGATCTGTACAAATCTGGATTAGGGTAAGTTCGAACGACTTTTGCAACATTCTTTCCGTGAACTGCTGTGGAGATTCACAGCTAGTTTGTGATGGTCAATACCTTAGCACCCTAGATACGCAACGTGGGTTCTGTGTCAAGTCATCCCACCTTCGCGACCTCTGCAGTTGGGTTGGAGGACCTGATTAGGGGACCTTGAAACCCGACAGATCTTATAAGAACCAGCGCTTGTATCGTAGACCCTTTGGCTTTGCTCAAGGTTGGCTGGAGTGAAGCATTAGATATTTCATTTCATTTCATCATATCGCTGTTTGATGAAGCTCACAAATGCCACCACACTGAGGTCGGATGGGAGGAGTTTGGAGGAATGCAGGAGTGTGTTGGAGACGATAAGATTTTCTGGCGGCGTTGCCTCAAGCAGGGCAAGATCAGCACTGTATTGTAATCCTCATGGGACTTTGCTGTCCGTCATGTTGCTCAGGCAGTGTCGGTCGAGGGAGTGTGTGCTTCATTTAATGAGGTTGTAGTCTTCCCAGAAACAGTATTTATAAAAACTAATTGTATAAGAAAATTATTACATTATTAAGTAATTTATTTTGATTACCAAAAGAATTTTTGAAAGACGGAGGTTGTTTGTGCACACTGACAAAGTTTATTGACTTCTACAAAATAATTTGATTAGCACAAGAGTCGATTGTCTTACATTTTCTATGAGCATGATTTTAATATATAAATTTTAATGATGTTAAAATGCAGATTATGAGAAACTGTCATGTGTATTAAAATAATTGAAGTAATTTTTTTATTAAATAAATACGACTATTGAAGCTAAGAATTGTATGGTAATTAAATATTTATGTTAGAGTTGGTAGAACTTTTACAATGATAAAATAAATTAATTAAAAGATAAATTTCATGAACCTTCGTATGTTTTACAGATATTATGTCCATGTTGTAATTTTGACTTAGACAATTTTGTCTACTGTGCTAAGTTCTATAATCTTATTATTTCAGTTAATTGGATATGAATAATAAATATCACATTGTTTGGTTGTAGCAATATCAAAATTAAACTTTAGTAACATCTTTGATAACTATCACTATCTAATATAATTCAATGGTACAAGTTAGAGAACTTATCACATCAATGTAAATTGTACAATTATACAAATTCTAAAGAATTATTTCTTTAAAAAAATATTTATTTTGGGATTTAATTTAATTTATTTTATAACCTCAAGTTAAGATTCTTGTGAAAAAAATTAGTAGTAAATTATTGGTTCATAAATATCTTTATTCTTATACTTTATTATTTTATTATTTAATCTTAACTGCACAATTTATTTATTTTTATAACATTATTGTTACAGCTTTGTTGTTAAAAGTTATTTTAAATAAAAATAATTACTATTTTAAGCTATATAAGACATAAAGATCACCATGGAAATAAAAATTAATTAAATAATATATATATGTGTATATATATCTATATATATATATATATACACACACATATATATTTATATATATATAGATAGATAGAGTTTATATTATAAGTTTTTATTAATAATACAAATTAAAATACAAATATAATAAATACTTGTATTAATTCTATTATTAGATGTAGATAGAAGTAATTAGGAACATATTAGGTAGGTAACATCTTTTTAAAGAAACATTGTGGAAGTTTCTCTGATATGAATTAGATCTTTAAATTCTTTTAGTTATATTACATGTCTAATGAAACTTATTTCAAAAGCTTTTTCTTTTAAAAAGCCTTGGTAAAAGCTACCTACAATTTAGATGCTTAGACCACAAGCTTAACATCGGGAATGGGAGCAATGGTTGGGAACATAGGAATGGTTGGCAACAAAGATGGAGACTACAAGGATGCAATGATGGTTAAGATAGAGTATGTTGCTTTAGTAAAAATTTGTACTGCTTTATTATTTTTCTAAATATAAATCATTTTATTTTTATATTTTTACATAAATAAAAGATTGATTTTAAAATTAAAATAGACTAACTTGAATTTATTGTAATAGATACTTTGAATTTAAGAATTTTTAGATTAAAAATTTAACTTTTATTTTAAATTTTTTTGACAACTAATTATTAAATCCAGATATTTATATCAAAAAATATGTTAAATATGTTAAATATGGTCTTTATAATTTTTAAAATATTCTTATAATTATAGTGATATATTATTTATTTATTTATTTTAAATAATTTATAAATATAAATATAATAAATACTAGTGTGAGAATTTATTTGTTATGAAATTTATCAAGCAATGCAAAGGTTTTTACAATTGTCATTATATATGTAATAAATTTTCATATTATATAAGTAAAAATAAAAATAAAAAAGACAAAAAAATGGAAGTACATAAAAATATGCTTAGTATGTAATTTTGTTGTAAAAAGCTTCAAGAAAGTTTTTAACATGCAAATTCGATATTTAGACTTTTATAGCTATTTCAACTTGTGTTATAAGTTTCTTCTTATTTTTGAAGAGTTTTTTTTGGAAATAATCTAGAACTTGATACTTAAGCTACAAGCTTTGTAATTCATAGGAAGCTTCCATAAGACCTTCTTTGTCACTAGTATACATAGAAACAAGACTTAGGCCATCTTTAGTCTTATTAATATCTTTTTTGTGTTGTAGTCTTAGTTTAAGATTCTTTAGATTCTTTATAATTAGCAATAGTCATTCTAGTTTTTTTATGTATCATATCTATATCTTATTTGTCCACACACTCTCTTTCAATTATATAAGAGCATTTTCTTTCAAAAATTCTATCATGATTCATGATTTTAATTATATGACAAGACTACTTACTTATTATAGTTATTTTATTTAAGATGTAAGAATATTATTTTATTTTTTAAAAAATACTAATATATTTTTATATCTTTTTTTAGAAAGTTTTATTTGATATTACAAATTGTAAATTATCATCTTTTAATTTGACTTATATGCTTATTAATATAGTCTATTGCTAAGATAAAAGAAGAAAAACAAAAAAAGTAGAAACTTCATATGTTAGCAATCTCAATTATAGAAGTATTACTACTACTTATATAAAAGAAATCAATACTAAAGTCAAATTTTTATACTAAGAAATTGTGCAATTGAGAGAAGCAAATACAAGTATGCATACTTTACAAGTGAGCCTTAAAGATCTGACACCACAAGTATGAATAAACCAAAGATCTATATGCTAAAGAAGTTTGATAGAATAAGATCAAAATTTTGGAAATATCTATAAGAAGTTAAGCTCTTCTTACATTTGCATCCTTCTTGATATATTAATAGAACTATGTAAGTAGAATTTATAGAAATATTTATTTAAAATGGTTCTATTTTAATTTGAACTTCTAATAAAAAAATAAAATTGATTCAAAAAAAAGTTTGAAAATAGATTTTTAAGAAAATACAAATTATAATAGATTAGAAAATCCCTAGAATTGTACTTGGTATCTTAGGCTTTTAAAAATTTATAGATTAAAATTATAAAGAACTTTTCTCAAGTTATTTCTTTAGTTATACAATTAACTTTCAAAATTAAATTAAAATACAATAAAGATGCAAAAAAAATTTAGTGCTTTAAAAGAAATTTTGAATTTCATTCCTAGTTTATATCATTTAAACTTTTTATGGCTATTTTCATATAAATAGATGGATAATTTTTTTTATTAGATATAATTATACTACAAAAAGATATAAAAAATATAATTTATTGTAATACTTTTTATACAAAAAAAAAATCTAAAAAATTGTCATTAAATATAAAACGTACAAAAAAGATTTTTTAAAATTTTTTATTGTAGATTTATTATGATAATGGTATCACTACCTAAAAGACACTCCTGATTAAATCATAATTTATATTTGTGACAAGAATCTTGATTATTTTATATCAATATGTAACTTAAATTAATGCAAAGCTCATTAGAGTATGTTTTTGTTACAGTTTGTATTGAATAGTGCATATTATATTAAAAAATAATAAGACTTATTAAATTGCTTATCTATACATTCTTATCTTATATCAAAAGAAAGAGATGTTGCATATAATTGAAAGAAAAGCTATTCTTTTGAATTTGGAGCAACTATATTTTACAGCCATTTTTATTGATAATTTAGTTGATACTAATTTTCTATTAAATTTTATTTAAATATATTATCAAAGGAAATATTAGATTAATATAAAAAATTATAAATAATTTATAAATTGATTAGAATTTACTTGCAATTTGTTTAGGATTTGATTAGATTTATTTAGGAATTTATAGGATTTTATAGGAAATATCTAAGGTTTTTTATTTTTATTTATTTTTTTATTTTTAGGATACATTTAATATTTCTTAAAATTTATTTGAAAATTTATTTGGATATTATGAATATTTTTTTTAAATTATTTATAATTCATTAGATTTGTGATTTAGAATTGATAAATTAAAAATTGATTCAATTTAGTATTTCTAAAAAAATCAAATCATTAAAATATATATTTTTAATTATCTCATTTTTTTGGATTATGAGAACTTTAAGATTTAGAGAAATTCCTTCTACAATCAAATATCCAATGTATATTTTAACTAGAATTTAAATATATCAACATATAAATAAAATATTAGAGCAATATTTGTAGTGAACCATCAATTATCACTAAGACAATTAAATAATTTTCTTGCCATTAGAAAATAATTTCAAACAATAATATAGTATATTATTTTATTTTAATTTTTAATTTAATTTTACTTTATTTTAATTTTATTTTGGATATTTTCTGCAATTAATTTTTTTGGATCTTTCAAAATATATTAAAAATATATCAATATAAGATTTGGCATAGAGATTAATAATGCTTCATGAAATAATCAAGATACAAATAAAAATATCCAATAATATAAAATAATAATAATAATAATAATAATAATAATGGTAATATTTTTATAAAAAGAAATCTCTGTATAAAATTGATAATAAGATATAATTATTCTATTGTAATATCAAGACCAATTAATTTTTTGATAAAATGAATTATCAAGATCTTAATATTATTTTTCTTTAAAAAAAAATCTATTAAAAATTTAAAATAAAATCAATGGAATTGCTTAATAATTGCAACAATTACAGTCAACAAAGATCCATCTTCTATATTAAGTTTGATTTATTGAGACTTATACTATAACTAATCTATAATATAGAAAATAATTTCTTCTATCTTATATTAGAATATATATATATATATATATATATATATATATCAATTAATAATTTAAATTGAAAGAAGTCTTGAATTTAAGGTGGCATCAAAATAAATTAAAATAACTTGCACATTGGCAAAAATATAATACTAATAGACACATGTAGGAGCCATCTAAGAATCTTGAAAATACATCAAAACTTATTGTTTCTTCTTGTGAACAACCTTTATCAAAATTTAGAATCAATCATTGAAAAAAAGTTAATGTAAATTAAAGAAAAAAAATAATAATAAAAAAAAAATTCAAAGATCAATTTGAAGACTTTCTTTGCAACATAAAGAAGCATCAACTACCAAATTTATCTCAAGAGTTGTTATTTACAAAATTATTAGATGAAGCACTTAGATAGTCTTAACTTAAATAAAATTAGAATTATAACAAAGATCCTTAAAAGGGACATGTTCTTCTTTAAATAGTTAAAAATATTTATATTTTGTAGTACTACAATCATAAAAAAAGACTATTAATGCATAGTAATACTATTGAAGGTGGTTACTGCATTTCAAGGTTTGTAAAAATGATTGTTTGAAGATAGTTATAAAGTTCTAAAAATTTATCAAATAACAAAGACATCTTCTTACTATGGTATGGAACATTATGGATAGTTGAGAGAATCTATCATTGTACAACACATAAATCTAAGTTTATTGCTAATATCATTTAATGGATTTTAGATTTCATCAATTTATAAAGCAACTTATAGAAGTTGTTACTTACAAGATGAAATAATCTAACATATATTTATTTTACTGAAGTATAAAGAAATAAATAGAATAAAATAAAAGTAGATATGTTAGGTAGATAATATCTTCTTTATGAAGGTTTAAAAAAATAAATTAGACATAGATTAGATATTTAGACTTTTATAGATATATCTTATGGTTATTTAAACTTATCATACTATTATAGACATGTATATTGACTCTAGTAATTAGTAAGATAAGAGGGATTAGGTAAAAATAAATAAAACTTAGTAAATTTAATAATATCTTGTAGAGAAGCTTTTTAGAAGTTGTATAGATGTAAATTTGACTTTACAAGTATTTGTAGGTGATTGATTGGTTAGAAACTTGGCCAACAAGTTAGCTACATATTACATATGTTGATTACTTATTTCAAAAATTGGCCACATGTTGCATATATTGTCTACTTATAATACAATTTGGTCATGTGGCAAACATAGTGGAAACTTGCATTGCAAGTTAGATATGTATCTTATAAATTGAATATATGTCAAATGACCTATAGAACATTGCTATGTAGCTCATTAGTTAGATAGTATATATAGAGGGAAGAGTAAGCCTTTTTTCACTCTTATCAATATTTTTCTTTTTGTTCTTTTTTGCTTTAAGAATTTCTAAACTTTTTGTCTTTCGTAGTAGCTATTCTAATTTTTTTTTAAATATAACTCCTTTTTACTACTTTTTTGTCATCTCTCTTTGATATACGCCTTATTACATTTATTCAAATTTTTAAAATTTTTGTCCTTGAGACTTACAATTTTTCTACTTTGAGAAAGTTATGTTAAAGGTAATAAAAAAACACTTCAGCCACGAGCCTTGTAGTCTTTAGAAAGCTTCTTCAAGAACTTCTTGATAGCAAGTATGTATTATGGCAAGATTGAAGCCACGTTTACTCTCATCAACACATTTGTTATGTTGCAATTTTAATTCAAGGCTCTCTAGATTCTTTATAACTAGTAATAGCCATATTAACTTCTTTCTATCTTCTATGTGATTTTTATTTGCCTATTTAACTTCTTTTTGTGACATAAAAGTATATCATCCTCTCAAAGTTTTATTATTATTCATGTTCTTTATAGAAGATCTAATTTTTTAATTTTAAAAGAACATTTTTGTATTAATCATAAGTTACATTTTATTTTTTTGGTGTAAGATAAAAATAATTAAACAAATTATCAAATAAATTTTAATAAATACAATTATATTCCTTATATTGTAGTTGTACTATTTGTATAGACAATGTTAAATATAATGATTAAAAAATGCACAAATTAACATAATATATATATATATATATATATATTATAAGATCCAAATCTTGTAGATTATACAAATTGCATCAAGTTTATCATATACACATTAAAATAACCTACTTATAAACTAAAAAATCTATTATCAAATAGAATTAACTAATCTAAGATTAGAAAATAAGATCTTTAATTTTTAATTTAATATAAAAATTATTTTATAAATATTTTTTTAATGTAGAATTTAATAAATGTGTACTTTAATTCTATGATAAAAAACCACATATTAAAAATCTGTATACCTTGTTATTGATATTATAAATTAATACTGTAAATTAATATTTTTTTATTTAAATGTAATTATTTTATTTCTAAGTAATTATCATGACAATATTGTATACATGGTTTTATTTCTAAAACATGCTATTTGAAAAAAAAAACGCATCTATTCATATGATATCAAAATTTCATTTTTATCGAAGTTCTTACACTAAATAGACTTATGTTGATTTTAATCCCTAACCATATATAAATACTTATGGTTACAACTTTATAAAATCCAAAAGTTTGTTATAGCAAGTTCTCTTTCTCCCATGTTGTTTAATTCTCCATGTAGACAACTTATCATGGATTTGGACATGCCTAGCAATAATATCTTGAACTTAAAGAGAAGATACTCACAAGTAAAGGACAAAGTGGAAACATCCTTGACCACCAGTCACTATAATAATTGACACGAATTCAACATATGAATGAAATACGGATTTCTCTCAAAATAAACAATGATTAAGGTTTGACAAAACTGATAGCTGATAAAATAGCTGTGACGACTCCGGTTCTTATACCTCACTACTGGCTGCAATTCCATCATGTTTTACATGACCCATCGCTTCTCCCGCACTGCATTTATTTCGAAATCTGAACCGCCGTCCGTAGTGGGTGTCCGTAGCTGTGGTCTTTTGTTCAAGTAGATATTGTTGCATAAAAAGATTTGGAAGAGGTGATTTGTCTCCGAGCTTCATAAACCACCATACGTTGTCGTCTGTATGCTGAAATAGCAGCGTGGCAGCAAATTCTGGTGGCAGAAATGGGTAGTCAGGGAATTTCGAGGACTAAATCCAAGTAATTGGTTCGCCGACGCACAACAGAATCTCCAGAGGTAACGAGTACCATAGGTATCCATTTTTGCTACAAACAGAAGAAAGCGCATTCGTTAATTGCATGTCATTATCACATACAATCAGAACGGTGGGGGCCAAAATTGAAGGTAAGGTATTCATTCCTTGGTGCAGACTTAAGGAGGGAGACTGGACAACTCGGACGCTTCAAATTCACGAATTCAGAGCAAGTCCTCTTCAGATCCTTGCCAGATTTTGACGGCAGTGCAAACTAGGAGCCCTACGCAAAGCCCTCGGCAACTAACGCTGGCCTGAAATGGCAAATCCAGACACTTATCTAGCCACGTTTTTATTTGCATGGTCGTCATATTCTTCGAGAAGCGAAAGAAAATCTCCGTTCATTTTGGAGGCTTTTCTCTCAGAAGTCCTCCAAGATTAAGACCAATTTAGTTAAATCGTGACTTCATTAAACAAGGGAGTTGTTACTGCAACAGTAGTCTGAGCAAGAGGCTGGAGATGTGAAATTTAAATGTAAGCAGGGCTACAGCTGCATGAGACCATTGATGGAGTCTGGTCACTACTCCCAAGTTGCATGGCTAGGTTCAACATCGTAAGGCAACTCTATTTCTTGAATTTATCAAGAAAAATTTACACCAACCTCATGATTTAACGATACTAGTTTGTCATTGCTGTTGATGACAATGATTCGATTCTCTACGTAACGAAGAAATTTGAGCAGAGTAGGCACAGATAGAAGATTAAGGAGAATTGTGCAAAGTTTACTTGGTACAAGAGGCCTCACATCGAGACTTATATTACACAGGTGAGGCATGTGACGTCGGGCCAGATGACGAAGTTATCGTTTCTGGACCAACACGACAGCCCTCTAGCATAAAAATCACCTCAGACATCGAAGGTCTGTCAACTGGATCCGGCGCGGTGCACAAGAGGGCAACTTTGACCGCCAAAAGAAATTCTTCCCACTCAGAAGATTCGGGGTCCAACTCCAACAGACTAGGATCAAATAGCTCCGTGATTTGCCCTGTTTGCAGCATCCGTTTCACCCACTTCACAATATCTTCGTCCTCGGTTGTAAACATGGCTGGTCTCCGTCCAGTCAAAAGCTCAAGCAAAACTATACCAAAGCTGTAGACATCTGCTCCTCTTGTAAGCTGTCGAGAGACGCCAGTACTTTCTGGCGATACATATCCAAATGACCCTACAGGAGTCGAGGAAGATGAGGGATCCGTGGGCATTGTAGCGAATCGCTCTAAACCGAAGTCAGAAAGGTGAGCTTCGAAATCGGCGTCAAATTGAACGTTGTTTGGCTTGACATCTCCGTGAATGATAGGGGGCTCACACTGTGTATGAAGAAAGGACAGTCCGCGTGCAACTCCGAGAGCAATTAGATGTCTCATTGGCCAATTCAAAACGTGACCGTCTTGTTGCGAAGCTTCTTGAAGTAAAGAAGCAAGATTTCCATTCGGCATGTAGTCATAAATCAAGAGGCGCACATCCCCGTGAACGTAGTAACCTCTCAAAACTGTCAAGTTCTGATGCCTTATTCTTCCCAACATCTCCGCTTCTGCTTTGAAGAGGTTTTCTTCCACCTGGCCATCGGGTAGCCTTCGGACTGATAGGACCGTCCCATCCTGATACTCAGAAAAATAACAGTGTTTTAAAAATGCAATGAGAAACATCAAAATAATTGGATACCCTAATTGGTAAAATTATGAGTGTCTACTTTTATAAGTAGCTAATCATGAACCGGATATTTATGCAACATAGTAGAGTGTACAGTTGAGAGCTTGGGAAACTTTCAAAATCTAAATGAGAAAATAACTCAAAAATTGAATTGGACAAAAATTTCGAAGGTTACCTTCAAAATCGCCTTGAAAACTATGCCATGTCGCGTCCTACTGAGGACGTGATCCTCATCAAACTGCCCAGTGGCTTCTTGAATATGTGCAAATGTGAGTGGCTCACTGAACATAACAACCTGTGCATCTGCAGGCGGTGGTGCTAAAGACAAAGCTTTTCGATTATATAAACGAAAGCACGCGATACCAAGGCAACATATTAGAGACATAAGGATGATGGTAAGGACACCTGCACCGACAGAAAGTCCAACAATTTCTTTTCGGTTCCAACGTGTTCTCTCTCGAACTTTATTTGGCCCGCTTTGCAGAGGTGCAGATTGCTGAGGCGAGCTGGCTGGCGATCCATTGAAACAACTTGTCTCGTCGCAGAGGGAAGGATTTCCACTGAAAGATGTTGAGTTGAACTTCAAAAGAGCTTGTGGAACAGGTCCCTGAAGGTTATTGTTGGAAAGATCTAGAGCTACGAGGTCAATTAGACTGCCCAGTGACACAGGAATGTTCCCACTCAGATTATTTTTGGAGAGATTCAAGTTCCGCAGTACTGTTAGATTACCGAAAGAAGACGGGATAGGACCTTGCAGACTGTTATTCTGCAACCATAGGATGCGGAGCTGCTGCAGTTGAGCAATCTCTGGCGGAATGTCTCCGCTTAATTTGTTTCCCTGAAGATCCAAGACATTTAAACTTTTGCACTTCCCAAGTTTTGAAGAGATGCCGCCAGATAGTTGGTTGATCCCTAAGTAAAGTTCTTGAAGATTCGATAGCTCGTTTAGCTCTTTGGGAACTGAACCAGTCAGCTGGTTGTTGCTCAATGCTAATACCGTCAAACTGGGGTCTCTCCCGAGAGCCGGAGGTATGTTTCCATATATGTTGTTGTTTGAAAGATCCAGAATAGTTAACCGTGGATGGGCACCGAGGTCGGGAGGAATACTTCCATTGAGCTTATTTCCACTCACCGAGAATACTTCCAAATCTGAGGAGGCAGGGAAGCCGTCTGGAATAGGACCAGTGAGAGAGTTGTTGTCAGCAGAGAAGATCCGCAATCTGGAGAGTGCAACGTATGCGAACGGTATGCGCCCCCAAAAATTTTGTCCACTCACATCCAGCTGCACAAGATCCACGCAATTTCCCAGCTTTGGAGGAAGTAACCCTGACAAATTATTCCCACTAACGTCAAGAACCTGTAAGTGCATAAGGGAACCCAATGAAGATGGAATGTTACCCGAGAGAGCATTTTCCTCCAAATTGAGAATTCTCAGTGGGAAGCACAACGATAAGGAAGAAGGAATTGGCCCCGTCAGTTGGTTGAAGGAGAGAGACAGATGGGTCAGCATGTGCAGAAAACCTAGCTCCGCAGGAATGGAGCCTGAAAGATTGTTCGCGTCCAAGGATAAGTATTCCAACTTGAATGCCTGACCTAGAGATGGAGGTAGAGTACCTGAGAGGTTATTATTGTTGAAAGAAAGGGATTGAAGTTCAGTAAGTTGGCCCAAAGAGAATGGGATTGAGGAGGTAAGACGGTTGTCATTCAATGACAATACTCTCAGATTGCTAAGTCGACCAAGCTCTAGAGGTATACTACCGGTGAGAAGATTCTGTGACAGGTTTAAGGTCCTCAACTGGACAAGGTTTCCCAATATCTCTGGTATGGGCCCCGACAAAGCGTTGGCGCTCAACGACAACTCCCTCAGCCATGTGACATTCCCAAGCTGTTCCGGAATTGAGCCGTTAAGATTATTTTCCTCCAACCATAATTCCTGCAGGTTGAAGAGATTTCCGAAAAGCTCTGGAATAACTCCACTAAATCGGTTTCTTCCAAGATTAATAACTTGCAGCTTTGTGCAGTTGCTCAGTTGCCAAGGAATTTCTCCCCATAGAGAATTTCCCCTCAAGTTCAAGCTCAAAAGATCCGGCAAAGTCCCCAGTTGAACTGGAAGGTTTCCACTCAAGAGATTACCTTGCAGGCTAAGAACTGTAAGCTTCTGGCAATTTGCCAAGTCAACAGGAATTGCACCTGAGAGAGTGTTATCCGCCACATCGAGAAAGCGCAGGTTTATAAGCTTGCCGATATCAGGAGGTATAGGCCCTGTTAGTTTGTTTTGTTCCAAATTCAAAATCTCGAGCGCCTGCAAACCTGCAAGGTCTGTAGGTATAATGCCAGATAATTCATTCTGAAACAATTGCAGATCGCTGAGGATCGAGCAATTGCCGAGTGAAGCTGGAATGGATCCCGTCAACAAATTGGAATGAAGATTTAGTTTGCGAAGCTGTCCCAGATTGCCCACCGCAGCTGGCAGACAATGTCAGTGTTAGCCAACCAGAGCACTAAACTAACACTTCTGAAAAATTGTTCGTGAATTGTTTGTCAATTATTGAAAATTTATGATGATAGATTCAAATGATCTGCTCAGGAACAAACTTCCTCCAAAGTAGCCTCATCTTACTTAAAATTTACGCACACGCATATTTGGAGTGTGACCGAAGAGATTAATTTCAAAGTAACTAGCAAATGCCCAGAAGGTATGATTGCATGAAGTTCGAGCCCTTCCACAGTGCTTCAGTGTTACTCTAAAAACGTTTCTAAGCGCCCGGATACACAGCAGACAAAGGAAAATATCAGAAGACTTAAAGTTCTCCAGTGTTGCTAATCCTAACATTCCAAAAGGCATGACAGTCAAACACGAAGTTTCTGAAAGTTGAAATTCAATTATTTGCTAGTGGGCTCTTGATTTCAGAAAATAGATCCAGAGGTTTCCTAACCAGGACTATATCTATGATTTATGAAGCATTGTGCCCTCTCTGCACAGATGAGAGACTAATTGCCCTCATTGCTTCTAAGTTGCTTCATCATTCATTCTTGGAGTCTAATGAGTGGAGTAAAAACGTCGATAATCACGAATGGTGTGCTTGATCTTTTTAAACTAGTGAATTACATTCTTCCTCGCGGTTTAACGAAGTCAGTTAAACTACGCACATGACCTAACCGTAGGCAAGCATTGGCGGTGCCAGAGGTCACAGGACAAAGAGTAAGAATGAAGGAAGAGGTGCCTGCGCACCTGATATGTGGCCTTGTAGCCTGGCCCCAGGCAAACTTAACTCCGAAACACGCCCATCCTTACAGATCACTCCCCGCCAGGCACAAATGATGGCGCTTTTTTCAAATGTCCACTCTCTTAGAATACTTTGAGTGTCAATAAAAGCCTCCCGAATCTTTAGCAAAGCGTACAAGTCTGTTTCTAAGCTCTGCGACTGTCCATCGGCGTGGATAATCAGGCTTCCAAGTAGAAAAAGTGCAAGGCCGAAGGCCGAGGACCAAGGTCTCCCCATAACCGATATTTCAGCTCGTAATTGATCACGTAGGCATCTTCTACTCCGTGAAGCTGTCAGCCGCTTCAGAGTCACTCCCGGCAACCGGACATCATTTTTTCCATAAGGACCTGCACACAAATAAACACCAAAGATGACCAAAGTAATAATTTCATCAATGTCGAATGGCAGCTAGCTGGCAGCCGAACAGTGTCCTTCTGACCACTCTACTACTATCTTGCATTCTGGTGAGTTAAATTCTGAGGTTCTAACTTCAAATCGCATCATCATCTCCGTCCTCGAAAGTTGTGAGCTATCAAGAGAAATCATTGCTCAGTAAAACAAGTTTCAGAGGCAGCAGTAAGCAAGAAATCAACATGACAACGTCTCTAACCTAAATACGCCTTGACGAAGGAGGAACTCGAGGGGACCGACTCATCAGAAAATGTTCGGAAGGGAACCGCGACCAACAGCTCAAAGAGTAGACAAATAACAAATGAGATATACACGATTTTCAAACCTTACTTGATTCAGTCAGCTCTAACTACAGCTGTCTGCTGAGAACTGCTTCTGAGCAGATCTGCACAACTCATTTTCCAAAAACCCGTTCCATACACACCGGCCTTGAAGTCCACTGCTTAGCATCCAACGCGACATTCCCTCTCACAATGCCACTCCTTACAGCCTCCCTTCTGCCTGCAAAACAATGAAAGCTTAAAAACTCACCAAAATTGCCCGAAAGTTCAAAATCCACGAGAGCTCCCTTGCGCAGTATCCAACAGCTTCTCTCTGTTACCTACTCCACAGTACCTTACAAATCAGCACCGCATAAAAAAAAATCGGAAATGCCGAAATGCAAGAGCACGTGCACCGGTTCGAGTCGAGGAGAACACACCCGCTAAATGCCACCTCCCATAAATGCTTCTAGGTAGCACAACACACTAAATCCAAGGCTCCGAAGCTTTCTGAGATTTCAAACAGACGAAATACTCTGCTTCAGTTGCACTCCTCCAACGCCAACGTCCGCAGCTGCACCATGACCAAGAGCGTGTACGAAAGGAACGTATACGCAGGACTGAATCACTCAGTCACGCAAGCAAACGGTCGTGGCAATCGAGCACGGTTGGGGGTCCAGTTACAATGAGGGCGCCCGTGCTCGATTACCGATGGCGGGGCGACAGAATGCGAAGTGCAATAGCGGCACAGCAGCTGCCACCATCAGAGTAAGGAATACAGCAGCAGGCAGGTAGGCTGGTTCATCTCAGGTGAGTCTTCCCCCGCCCTTCCAACACTCCGACTCTCAGTATCGAGCACAAATCAGCATCGCTGGTCAGCAGTCATTATGCCCCCCCCTGACCCAGGGTCTCTCAGCCTTGGGGCGACTCTGCCGATTTCACACTCACTTGTCGGTACTTGATTTGTTCTCTCTTGGCCTGCGCTTGGATGGATAAATGGATGGATGTCCTCATCCTTCCTAACCAGCACATGTAATCTTATCCATCTATCCATCCATCCATCAATCGTTGCACCCTTCATTTAAAACATGTTAGTTTTGGTAGTATCAATCCTTTTTTTATTCTTTTATGTATTTCTGATGATTTGAATTGAAGAATGTTTCAAAAACATATTACTGAAAAAGTCGTTTTACTTAAAGACTATGAATAAGGTTGTGAATGATTCGAGAATTCAAAACCTCAAAAAATATTTAAAGATCCTGTTCTGATCAACTCTTGGATTTCGTCATTTATTTGAACTTCAAAATGGCTTAAGACTCTGCAATTGAAAGGTTTCTGCTTCATGCAGGTTTTACATTTCTGGTATTTTATAAAGATTGGATTGTATTCATTATTGCTCTGAGATGTAAACTTTATCACTCCTAGTGGAAGGTCATGATAATAAAAAAATAAAAAAAAGAAAAATAAAAATGAAGACTGAGAATAAATGATACTCATTGCAGAGATCATCAGGCATAAAGTTCATAAACTTGTACATATGTACGTACGTACGTATACAGATCTAGCTTTTGAGAAAAAATCACTTTCTGAAAACTCTTGTGTGTAAGTATAATACATATATATATATATATATATATATAAGTAATAAGTACTGCGTTAAATCCATACATGCAGCTTAAAATATTTGTTCCACAACCAGTCTTTTGCATTTTTAAAAATTATTACAATGGTGTAGAATTTATAAATACCATTCAGAATGTCCTTTTCATTTTCTTGTCATTACTCTATCTTTATCTTTTATTTTTTAAATTATGTAATTATTACATATGTATATATATATATATATATATATATGTGTGTGTGTGTGTGCAAACAAAATTCATTTGGTGATACAAATATGTAATGTAATACTAACAATAATAATAGCTGTTCTATTGTGGATTAAATGATGTTTTTTTAATAGAACAGTTATTATTATTGTTAGTATTACATTACATATTTTAATATTAATATTGTTAGTATTACATTACATATGTTGACATTTACAAAAGGAAATTGTATGTAATGTGGCGTAATATATATAATCTAAAGTGAAGGTGGGACAGCAATGATACTATAAGAAAACCAGGTGAATTTTCAGACATGATATTGTCTAATAAAACTCATTTTGTCTGATGGGATAAGTCATTGTTTATTCCAATTTTTATTTTATTTTTTGAAGTATAGTGGAATAATTACAGTAGAAAAGAAGCCACTACTATGTTTAAATTTCTGGTGCAATTTATATCAATTCACCTAATTATCAGAATGAAATTCAATAAAATGAATTACAAAATCTAGGATATAATCTTGGAATGAATGGAGGTTTGTCAATGTTGAGTCAATAGTATTAAGTGAATGCTTGTAGTGTCATGATACGTAAAACATAGTGAGTTTAATTGCATTAAAGTTACTGAGCCATACACATTCACTTGATTTGTGCATGGATGGATGAGGACAAGGATGAAGGAGAAGGGATGGATGAGCTGCAGGGAGTGGGAGGAGTAACTGAGCTAATGCTTGCTGCCCTCCCTCTCCCCTTCCTCACTCCTGCAGGGCACTTCTCACCTGATATCAACACTCTATCTCTCGAGCATTCACGAAGTTGGGTCAGATTTCTCGCGCTCTGCTTCAGTTGCGGCATTCTGCCAGCCGAATGCGCTGCATCATTGTCCCTAGGATTCCATTATTGCCCTGCATTTGCACTACTTACTGCTACTTATGATGCACTTTGCTGCACCACCCACAGCATTGGTTAGAAAAACTACATGAGGGTTATCCCCTCCCCTCTTTGATGGTGGGTACTGATCGCTGGGGAGCCAGTCGTTGTCGTCGTCCGTAGTCTGGTCAAACCAACCCTGAGCATCTTCAGCGATGCTACTGATTCGGTCCTAACTCTACTTCACCCCAATGCACAACCCTCAGAACCAGCCCATTTTACCCTGCCCGGCATGCTGAGAATCGGTTGGAGCACACTGACCTTTTGCAAAGAGTATCCACAGAGGCACAGACATGCTCCGAATGTGGGCCCAGCCCTACCAGCCTACCTGCGTGCTTTTTTTTTTCCATCAGCGCTTATGGAACGAAATATTTCCCCATCTCCAGTAGCTGCAGCTGTCCAGCCTGGGATCAGTAAGCGTGTATGCCGGTGTCTCCATGCTCTTGTACCCACCCAGCCAACGGGAGGAAACGCCTGCGAGCAGTGGAAGCGTCAAACCATGGGGGGGAGGTGGCGCAGCTGCCCCTGATATGCCTTAGCTGGCATGGACGTCAGTTTGTGCTTGTCAAGGCAGGGCAGGGCAGGGCAGGCCGCGTACTTGGGAGTAAAGGTCCCTCGCCCCCGTCCCCATGGTGTCGCTGTGGGCTCTACGCAGGCGCCGCAGACCCAACTCCCACAGACCTGGTGCAGGCAGAAAGAGAGAGAGAGAGAGAGAGGTGCAAACAGTTGTCACACTTGCAAACTCAGCGTGTCCCGTTGCTGCTGCTGCTTCTTCTTCTTCTTCATCATCATCCATCCCCCCCTCCTCTTTAGAGTCGTTTCTCCCCCCCCCCCCACTTTTGTGCACTCTTCCAATGCTCCACAGCTTGATAATTGTTTTCTTTCATTCTGAAACTCGCCAATTTTACCACCCCAATCTTCATCATCTTTCTCTGTCTTCTTACTATTTGCTGTTTGACCGTTTTGTCTATTTATTGAGTCAATAGTTGTTGACAAATATACACATGCATAAATATATAAAATATAAATAATTATTTCCAAAAAATTATTATTTATTTAAAGAATTTATATTATTTATATAATAATATTTTTTTAGTTAACTTAGAATGAATTTTTGTTCTAAATAAAAAATTATATATATATATATATATATATATATTTACACTATTTACATGCATATAGATATATCAATATTTTTTTACATAAATTTTTTAATTTATATAAAGCATCATCAATATTTATTTTTTATTTGATAAAATAATATTAGAATTCAAATATTTTAATACAAATTTTAAATTTAAAGGCATTAGAATATTTATTTTTAATTATTTTTTTAAAAAAAGTTCTTATAGATTTTAAGTCATAAATAATCAATTTGCTATAGATATACATATCAATACTAATAATTGCTAAGATAAGAGAAGTAAGGTAAAAGTAAGTAAAAGTATGTAAATTTGATAATATCTTATAATAAAACTTCTTAGAAGCTTTGTAGATGCAAATTTTATTTTGAAAATGTGTGTAGATAATCAACTAGTTGAAAACTTAAGCAATAAGTTCACCTCATGTTGTACATGTTGACTTCTTGTTTTACAAGTTGGCCACATGCCATACATATTTGCTACTTATGATTTTGATTAATCACATGGCACATATGTAAAAAAATTATTTTGTAAATTAGACACATTGTAGTAGAGCATGGATAGGATATTTGTATTATTTATACATAGAAATATGTAGTTGGAGTCATTTTTGGGAAGTTTTTAGAATTAAGATTAGGGTGGTGGTTCTTGTGGGATCCACCATAGAATCTTTTAGAAAGGCTTAGGAAAGTTATCATCATAGGACCTACCTCTAGAGTCTTCTAGAAAGGTAGTTATTTTGGTGCGGCTGATGATTAGAGATATTCTAAAAAGTTCCAGGGATAATTAAATAAAGAATAAATAGAATTGGTTAGGGCCATTTAGACATTCGGTTAGATGTGGCTTTAGATTCTTTATCTTAGTAAAGTTTGGTTGTTTTTTCTTCTTTTGTTTTGTTTAGTTTTGTTTGATTCTATTTTCTTTTAATCAATCTTGTCTTTTCGGTTCCATTTCATTTAGGTACTTTCAATTTTGTTTTTGTGTGCTTAGTCTTACATTGTGTTGAGAACTTTGTTGTTATGGATTTAGTAAGGTTTTAGACCTTAGAGGATCCGGTCCTGTTTTATTGGTATCAAAGCGAGTGTTAGTCTATTTTTTGATAGTGTGTTGATATCCATCATTTGGTTGGAAGTTAATTATTGTAATCACATTGGATACTATTTTTGGGCTACAATAAGCTACCTTAAGAAGTCAATTGGAAGAGAAGAAGACATTACAATAATAAACTTTATTAAGAAAATTGTAATATAGAAGATATGGCAGAGCAATCCTAGATTGAAACTCAGATATAATACCTTTTAGGATAGATAATTACTCTGCAAGGGCAAATAGAAGCTTCTAAGATAAGAGAGTTGACATTTGTTAGGTTGAAATTGAACAAGCCAGATATATTTTCAGAGATGTCAAGGCAAGAAGATATATGCCAATGGCTTTTTAATATACAATAGTACTTCCAATTATCTAGAACAAATATCAGCAAAGGGATTATATATGTTTCTAGTTATTTGAGAGATGCAGCAGCCATTGGGTGGCAACATCAAGTTCAAAGGTATGGAGCTCAAGGCGAATTTTGTGACTAAGAGGAGTTTGAGACCAAGCTTAGGAGTCAATTTTGGCCCATCAATGTAAGAAAGTTAGTTCACAATCAATTGACTAATCTTATACAATTTAGATTAGTGCAAGATTATACCTCTTAATTTAAGTTCTTATATCTCTAAATTGGCATGATCTCAAAAGCAGAGATGATGGATCAATTTGTACAAGGGTTGAAATCTATGGTCTAGGGAGAGATGGAATTAAGAGATCTACAAATATTTGAAGAGGCAATTAAGATTACAAAAAAGGTTGGTGCTATAGATTTTAGAAATTATAGAGTACAACCCATAGAGTAGAATTCTATGCCACTAGCCAACTCTATGGAACAACAACCAACACTGAT